ACCTAGTGTTTCCAAGCTCTTAGAAGCTAAGACCCGAAGGATTGAAGAGGTCAAGAGGAAGGAATCGATGAAGGGTTTGTTGTTGTTCGTTAGTGCCTGGATATCTATTGCGTGAGTCTGAGTGGTGCTTGTCGTTGTATCGTTTGCCAGTCTGAGACCGGAACATCCTGCAACGGAGAGCGAGCTCATTAGTATCTTCCATCTGCCGTAAAATGGAATACAACTCGGAATCGGGCTCTTGTGCTCTTGAAGGAGACCTGTGTGCACTGATCAAACGATACTGTCTGACGTAGTAATGACAATCTACCTCTACCCCACACTGGACTGCAGCATACAGAAAGGAAGACAAGCGAGGAACTATGAAATATCCAATGTTTTTTTTATTCAATTTTGCTTCTAGAAGGTTATAGCAGTTTATGATGAAAGTCTACAATCTGAACCGCTTCAACTAGAGCCTTGACCTAAGTTCCGAACCTGTGGTTTTTCCCGAGCCGTCATCGGTTAGTCATTGAAGATCAAATCTGTCAAGACTCATCACCTTGTCCCAAACTGCAACAAAGTCCTTTACGAACTTGGCACCTCCATCAGAGCTGCCGTATACCTCGGCGATAGCTCGCAATTCAGCGTGAGAGCCGAAGACAAGATCAACACGCGAGGCAGTCCACTTCTTCTCGCCGGTCTTGCGGTCAGTGCCCTCGAACACCTCGCTGTCAGAGTCAGTTGCCTTCCAGACCGTATTGGGGTCCAAGAGGTTAACGAAGAAATCGTTCGTCAGCTGTCCCGGGCGTTTAGTCAAGACACCGGTACTTGATCCGTCATAGTTGGTGTTCAGAGCGCGCAGACCTCCAACCAGTACAGTCATCTCAGGAGGAGAAAGAGTCAGAAGTTGAGCCCTGTCGACGAGCATAGCCTCAGTCTTGACGCGAGGCGTGCCCTTGCCGTAGTTTCTGAAACCATCGGCGTAGGGCTCCAGGTGTCCGATAGACTTGGCGTCTGTCTGTTCTGCAGTTGCGTCCATGCGACCGGGCTTGAATGGCACGGAGACGCTCTGGCCAGCATCTTGTGCAGCCTTCTCTACTCCAGCCACACCAGCGAGTACGATGAGATCGGCGATAGATACCTTCTTGTCACCGCCTGAAGCATTGAACTTACCCTGGATATCCTCCAGAGCTTTGAGAACTTTGTCCAAACCGAACTGGCTGTTAATCTTCCAGTCCTTGATTGGAGAAAGACGGATACGGGCACCGTTGGCACCACCACGCTTATCACTACCACGGAAAGTGGAAGCCGAGGCATAGGCCGCGGAAATGAGTTGGGAGGTGCTCAAACCAGAAGACAGGATGGCTTTCTTCAGCTCAGCAACATCCTGGTCGGTGACGAGGGCGTGGTTGACAGCTGGGATAGGGTCTTGCCAGATCAGTTCCTCCTTGGGGGCCTCGGGTCCAATGTACCGAACAGACGGGCCAAGATCACGGTGCAGGAGTTTGAACCAAGCACGGGCGAAAGCGTCGGCGAATTGGTCTGGGTTCTCGAGGAAGCGACGAGAGATCTTCTCGTACTCGGGGTCAAAGCGGAGCGACAAGTCTGTAGTCAACATCTTGGGCTTGTGCTTCTTGGATGAATCATAGGCATCAGGAATGATGGCATCAGCATTCTTGGCAACCCACTGGTTGGCACCAGCAGGACTCTTGTCGTGCTCCCAGTCGTAGGCAAAGAGGTACTCGAAATACTGGTTGCTCCACTTGGTGGGAGTCTTTGTCCAGATAACCTCGAGACCACTGGTAATCGTGTCCGGTCCTTTGCCTGAGGCATGGCTGTTTTGCCAGCCAAGACCTTGTGATTCAATCGCAGCTGCTTCTGGCTCAGCTCCGACATTGCTTGCTGGAGCGGCACCGTGAGTCTTTCCGAAAGTGTGTCCACCGGCAATCAAGGCGACAGTCTCCTCGTCATTCACTGTTGTAATTATCAGCGTTTGTAACGACACATGTGGAAACCTTGCAAACTAGAATGTACAGCTGCGGGCGGAATAGCTTGGACGACTTACTCGCCATGCGGCCAAAGGTGTCACGAATATCGTGGGCGGCCGCAACGGGATCTGGGTTTCCATCAGGACCCTCAGGGTTGACGTAGATCAGACCCATGTGGGCAGCGGCCAGTGGCGCCTCGAGATCGCCGGAGTGTGCCTTTGGCTTTGGGTCTTCGTCGGCGTCAACAACGCCGTGCTTGTCAAGACCAGCATAGCCTTGCGAATAGCGAACGTCGTTGCCCAACCAGGTGGTTTCGCCACCCCAGTAGGCAGCCTCGTCTGCCTCCCAGGTGTCTTTGCGACCACCAGCAAAGCCAAAGGTCTTGAAGCCCATGGACTCGAGGGCGACATTGCCGGTCAGCAGAAGCAAGTCAGCCCAGGAGATCTTGTTGCCATACTTCTGCTTGATGGGCCACAGCAGGCGGCGAGCCTTGTCCAAACTGACGTTATCGGGCCAACTGTTCAAGGGAGCAAATCGTTGCTGACCTTGACCACCACCTCCACGACCATCGGTGACACGGTAGGTGCCGGCACTGTGCCAAGCCATTCGAATGAAGAGACCACCGTAGTGGCCGAAGTCGGCGGGCCAGTAGTCCTGGGAGTCGGTCATGAGGTCGTTCAGGTCCTTCTTGAGGGCGTCATAGTCGAGAGACTTGAAGGCAGCGGCATAATCGAAGTCCTCGCCGAGGGGGTCGGAAGACTTGTTGTGTTGGCGCAAGATGTTGAGTTTGAGCTGATCGGGCCACCAATCGCGGTTCCTGGTACCGCTCCCAGCGACGTTGCCCTTGACGGGACACTTGGACTCAGAAGCCATTGCGATCTGTGTAGCGTGGAATTGGGCGGTGTTCTTCAGCGCAAAGACGCGCGTATTTGGCTGCGGTGAAGGTTTTTACTTGAAGTTGAGTAAGGAACAAGAACACGCTCTCGTTACTTGCTAACTGATAGACAGGAAAGGGGAAGAAGAGAAAGGAAAAGTATAGACGTGATACGAGTCGTCAGCAGCCGAGAACCCCGCACTTTATATCACAGGTCGACGGCAACACGCCGAGAGGATTTGGGGGATCTTGCGTGACATTCCTTACTATTAGGCGTCTGTTCACAGTATCGTGCTATGCAGGCGGGTGCAGAATACTGTATATAGCTACCTAGGCGTCCCACCTGTTTTACGAGGCAGGTGGTTGTCAATAAGGGATCTAACATACAGTATGCCGGTTCGCCACACTTTGGCCTGGACCGGGTATCTGTTTGGAGACGAGAGACCGAGGGTCGCGGGTTAATGTCAACGTCAACGTCAGTCCGACTTAGGCGGTTGTCGGCTCTGAGTGTCTACGTTGATATAAACTGGAACAATCCAGTCTCTTCTGTGTCTCGAAGCTAGCTGGCTTGCCGCCTGATGGCCGGGCCGCACCTGTCCGCTAGTGGCAGGCAATCCAAGAGCTTTAAGTGCCTTTAACAGCTGCTTGAGAGGTGCTGTTGCGGATAGGCCGGAGCGCTGGTCGGCTCTCGTCGCCCGCGCGGGGGAGTTTCGGGATTGCCACGTTTAAAAGAGAGGGGTCCTTCAAGGTGTCGCTTGAGTGCAGACAGAAACGGGTTGGGTTTCATTATTAAACGCGCATTCTCATAGGTTCTCGTCCTGGATCTTGGCGGAGCTGCTGGGAACAGAACAGGGGCTCGGGCGTTGCAGATTAGTACCCCTCTTCTTCCTGCTCAACGCTCAAGCCCCATCTCCTTTGATTTCCGTTTGATCGACGTGACGTCTATTTGTGTCTCTTTCTTGACTACCTACGTATTGACAGCTTCTATTCATGCCCGAGTATCTTCCATCAGCTATGATTTGCTGTTCTTCAACAAGTAAGGTATCGATGCATATCGTCGTCCTTTGGCTGTCGACTGTCTACCCCGCTAGCTCGACGGCAAAGTGCGGGCTCTGTGCGGGTTGGCATCAAGACAACATAGAGCAATGCGTGATGTCCAAGTAACCTGATGAAAATGCGCTTCGTCCTTCCAAATCAAATCATCTGACCAACATTCGATCAATTGTCGCATGCCACCATCCTCTAGGCTAGCATGACCCATTCGCGGCGGTCCACCTACCTAGTGCACACTGCGTGGCCCATCCACTCCCTTCCCAATCTTTGCCTGGGCCACGCTTGGGAGTATCCGAGTCTCCACGGCGACTAGAAGAATACCTTACCTACGCCAGCAACACGTATCGAGGCCTATCAAAGTTATCTGGCCTTAGGCAATCTAACACTCATTATTGTGCATCTCAGTTTCTACTACCTACAGCCAATGAAATGCTTTAACACGCCCCGCAGCTCGGCACATCTTGCTGTTTGGCGCCATCGCTATCTGTCGGCTTGAAAATGTGCGCCATACCAAAAGATTACTGTAGAAACGCCATCTCTCCATCAACACTAATTAGGTACCTAGGTAAAATTTGAAGCGGTTTGCGATATGTGCGGTAGGATCCACGTGAAATATATCGGGTGTGCCCGTCGACATGTGCTGTAAAGGCTGTCTTCTTCAGGCTGCATGGAGCCCGTTTTGGACCATTGGAGATCAAGCGTCGACTTGGAGTACCTTTCACAACCTGGACTGCAACAATTGGCGCGCTTCAACGGTTCTGGAGACTACTGTAAGCAAGAAAAGTGTACCCATGGAGGTGTTCGATTGTCGATAGTCTGTCACTCCTACCTAGTCTCTAATCGACGCTTATCCAATACCCCCCAACTTGGGCGACCTGCCATCAATAAATGGCACCGATTTCAGAGTTGCCTTCACATGCATATTTGGACAACGCTTTTCGCAACATTGAACTGTTACACTATTTATGTTCGAGTGCAAGTATCAAATTATTTCCACTTTTCTATGCCTTTGGTTTGTGGATGTTAACAGTTGATGCAGCCAGTCCATCTCGGTCGGTCCTACATAGTGGCACACAAAAAAACCTCTTCAACAACCCACCAGATCTGGTCTGCTAGCTCAGTTGGTTAGAGCGTCGTACTAATACAAAATCTATGGACGATTTGTATAACGTAATGCGAAGGTCATGAGTTCGACCCTCATGTGGACCAATGAACAATTTTTTTTCTACTGCCTTAATTAAAACCTTGGTGTCCGTTTTTTTCTCCAATGAACGACAAGAAAAATGCAGACCACGAATTTCATGATCGTAGACAATCTGCCAATGCGCATACACGGCTTTTGTTCCCCAAGGTCCTGTATTACTAGCCATTCGCAATCGCCATCAAGCGCTTGCTTATCCGACTAGGAAACGACTGATGGAAATGGCCGGTAAAGCCATCAGCTTCATTCGAATGAATATCTCTTGTCTACCCCGACAACACGCCATTGGTTCTCGTAGCCGGGGTCAGGTCAGATTGAGACATTTGTTACTAAATGCCGTATCATCATTGAAGCAAGCGACCGGCTCGTCGAACTTCAAAGCATCGCTCTCTTTATATTCAATAGCCATCTTCATCTCAGAATGGATGCTATTGCTAACATAATGCCAAACTAAGGCGCGCCTTTAACCGGTCGGTGAGATGTCTCCAGCCTGGCTTAGCGATCGGGAATTTGCATAGTTTGCATATACTTTATCCAGCATCCGTCACTGCTGGTCGGCAGAGCGTCTCAGTGCCACTCAGAATACTGCGGGGTATCAAGGTTGGCATGCCACTCTGCCGGTAGTCACTATATACTCTGCAGGCGAGATTGACGCAGGTCGTCGCCAAGGCATCATGGTGCTGATTCCATTTGCGCGGGCGTACATCTTCTTATAACGGTGTTCTCTGAGGAGAGGAGAGGAGAATATCCGCAACATTTGTGGCGTGCTCCTGAGCTATTTCTCGTCTGAGTCCTTTCGCGCAGTGACGAGTAATCTTAAGCTCCTCTTGTAACAGCATAGGAGACACTACTAGTAGCAGTAACATAAACCGTCACGCTCATCCTAGAACTCTGTAATCTACCATGACGGCTGAGCTCAAAGGTGAGCTTCGGACTAGAGGTCTCAATCTTGTCCATAGGTATGTTGAGAAACGCTTGACATTGAGTTGTCTTGACACTTCTCTCACACTGACTACTCGATAGCCATGCGCACGAAGAGGATGTCGCGGGCACAGTCAACGTTCAAGCTGTTGGTCAGTGCCCCTGAGCAATGTGATCAACAACATATGGTAGCTGAATCATTTCCTAGAGGGCGACGATACGGCATACGGACAAGCATTATTCCCCGTCCCGGCTGAAGATCCAAATGATCCGCTGCAGTGGTCACGGGTCAAGAAGCTGATGATTCTGATCATCATCTGCACTTACTCATTTCTGGGCAACTCGGCCTTGTTCGGTGTCGGACCGTATATCACCCTTTGGTCGGAGATTTTCGATGTTTCACAGGCAGAGGCCTCAACGCTCCTCACGTATCCTAATCTTGCTTATGGTCTCGTCTCATGGCTCTTAGTGCCTTTGTACCTCAAGTTCGGCAGAAGGCCGGTGATGCTTGGCTCAATGTTGGCTGTCAGTAATGTATGCCCTTCATGGCTGCGAACATGGCTGATACGTATTTCCAGTTCATTGCAGGCCTTGCTGGCTGCGCACGTGCTACTACTTTCGGAGGTTTAATGGCTGCCCGAATTGTTCACTGTTTGGGAGCTGGGATATGCGAAGCTTTGCCTGTGCAGCTCGTGAATGACATTTTCTTCCTTCATGAACGCGGCAAGCAGCTTGGGTACTATACATGTAAGATATCCGTTCCTAGACCTAACTATGAACTGTCAATTGACCGCAGACAGTTGCGATATGCTTTGCAGCTCTCGCGACCCTGCCGGCAGCGTACATGTTGCCCACTCGATACTCATGGCGTTTGTTTTTCTACGTAGTATTAGCTTTCGCATCGGCATTGTTTGTGCTTGCATTCTTCTTTGTAGAAGAAACTTCGTATGACAGAAAGGGTGTAACGTATTCGACATCTGAGTCACCGAATGGGACGACTATGAGCTCCAGCCAAGACAAGTCGGAGACCGTTGTCGAGCATGCGTCAACCGTCCCAACCGTCCCAGCCCGCAAGACCTTTCTCGAGACGATCAAGCCTACTGGACGCATTGATAGAGATGTCCCGTTCTTCGCATTGATGTGGAGATCGTTGACATATTTCTTGGTCCCTCAGGTTCTCTGGGTCATCACGTCTTTTGGAATCATCATTGGCCTGGGAGCTCTTGCATTCAATTTTGGTAGGCAAAAACCCCCTTTAGATAGCACTTCAATTTCCTCCAGTGGAGGGTATTCGATTGTGAAAGGGTTGTCTTTGGCCCCGCTTCTCCCTAATGACGCCTGGAGCTCGTTCTGACTCCATTTCCAACAGTGTTTCCCATCCGAATCACCGCACCGCCATACAACTGGCCTGCTGTAAGCCTTTCACCGCTTTCTTGACAATCATGAGCCTCAATTTAATGATGTATTAGTCCAGCTCTGGAATTCACGCTGTCGGATCAGTACTAGGGTTCCTACTCGGCGTCCCATTTGCAGGAACGTCAGATCGTCTAGCAGCATATCTCACGCGCCGTAATAACGGCATTCGAGAAGCAGAAATGAGACTCGGCGTAATGCTTCCAGCAGCCATCGTGGGTCCCGCCGGGCTTGTCGTTTATGGACTGACAGCAGAACTGAACCTTCACTGGATAGGCTTCTTCTTCGGCGCTGGTATGCTCTCGTGGTGTGGTTTCTTCTTCTACAGCTTCACGCTTGCGTATGCTGTGGATTCGTATAACAGCAACACTTCAGAGATGCTGATAGCAATGAATGTTGGTAAGCAGCTTGTGAGTTTCGGACTGGGACTCAAGGTCCTTGACTGGATTCTAGAGAGTGGTTATGCTAAAGTCATTGCGGGCGCATTTGGCGGAATCCTTCTTGCTAATAATCTGTTTCTTGTTGTGTTCATGATTTGGGGCAAAGGCATTAGGCGGTTCATGTCGGAATCTTGGGTGGCTAAGCTTCATGGCCGTGGAAGTATCAGTGAAGGGTCAAATTAAGAGACCGCAGTCTATCGGATTGAATGCGAGTCATCAATACACCATTACAAACACTCTTCAAACGCTTTTTACTTGAAGAACTTAAGATCTCAGGTCGCCTTCATAATCTCTATCCTCATGTCATGTTAGTATGTATGTGAAATATCGGTAGGTATACGAAGCTCCCTTCACCTTATACCCATTGATGTACAACATCGCCCAATCTCCCTTCTAGAGGCAAAAGTGTTTCTGGATGTCTGACGAGTCGAACTCATGCCAATTCGTGATAAGGAAAACCCATGTCTCGTTGAATTCCATCAGAAACCAGTGGCTCTTGACGGTCAATCTCAAGTTCCAGTATTGTGTTTGTCTGCCCTTCCATTTCGTATTTCTATTCGCCATCAAGTTGTGGGAGCATCGAAAGTCCCTCACTGCATCCTGTCCTTGTCTGTTGCCGACTTCGATACCGTCTCATGAGCAGAACTAGAATGGCTAACCATATTGCAAGGCCCACTACTCCGACTCCAACGCTTATACCGGCTTTCGACTCTGTAGAAAGACCCTTTCCACGATTCTGTGTTAATAGTGACTGGCGGGTAGCTGACGAAGTAAATGTGGAGGTAGGTAAGTCTGTGGACATCCAGTTAAGCTGAAGTAGCGGCGCAGCGATAGCTAGATACTCGTATAGAGTCTTTGCTGGTGACAGACCCATCGTATTGAATGCCAATTCCGTTGGGAAAGATTCGATTGAAGCACTTATTCCATTGCACAATAATCCGGAAGCACTTGTGGTAAGGGTCAATGTGCAGAATTGACGGGGGCTCATAAGCTGGTTCGCACAAGCATAAGACCTGCAATGGATTCTAACGTTAGTGGTGAGAAGAAGTGAGTCGGAATGCATTTCAGCACACGTACGTTGGACAACACCCCTGTGCCGTCTCGAACTCGATCAAAGGAAACGATGGTGTCCAGTCTGAATAACCACCCGCTGTTGCTCTACAGGCACTGGTATAACCATTGGGGCATTCAACACCAGGAGAGTATCATCCTGGATAAGAGTCGACATCCGTCTTGTTGTCTAACGGCCAACAGGCTCGGATCCAAGTTGCAGTATATCCTCCATAGGCAGTGGAACATGTTAATTGCGGGTCAATTGTGCCAATGAATGCAAGAATTGAGCAGCTTTTGTCGCCGGTTCTAGTAGGTATGCACTTGGCGCCGATGATAGCGAGGGCTGCGTCTGCTGTTCCAGCGTAGATATAAGGTACCCTACAAGAAGATTGAAGGCCATCTCATGAGGTGGGAAGCGCTCTAAAGTAAGATGGATCTGTGATCGATGTTCTTTAAGTCATAATCGTTAACATCATTCAGGAATTCGCATGTGGGTTATCCCATGTGACATAGGCGGCGGCGCTTGGAAAATCTAGCGCAAGCTATAGAACACCATGGTAGAAGGATTCTGTTCCTTTGTAGTCTTACGATAACCAGCGCGAACATTTCGTCTAGTAATACCCCTAGCGGATGAACACTTGAACACATGAACGCATGGGAGAGGGGTAATTTATTGACCACACGATTTCATCATTATACTTTGTTACCTGAATGAGTTGTCTGGTGACGGCGCACCCGCGACGGGTGCCTGCATGTTCACAAAGACGACACTGTCCGAGGGCCATTGACTATTAGATGAAAGTGACCAGTAGGCTGGTACAGCTAAGCGCCTCCATACCTAGGGTTATATTTCTACATTATTGTGTGCGGCCTGATGGGGAACAGCAAATGAATGTATGCTTGTCGCGGATTGCTATTTGCAATACGTCGTAGTTGCATACATCGACAGAGTCGCGATGATTAGGTTTCCGTAGCTGGCTAGAAGACAGCGCTGTGCAGACACTGTCTGACTTCATGATCTACAGAAACATGCAAGAAGTAATGAAGTACAAAGCTTTAGCATAAGGAAAAGATAATATAGACATAAGATTTTACCATTAGATGAGGGACGTGTAAATTTACTGCCACAATCGGTGAACAGGAAAGCCTCAGACGGATCGGGTCATCGATACACAACGGAA